TTCCTGGATTCGATTCCACGTTCGACACGTTCCACTTTTTAATTTATATACTCCTGATTTCTCGTATTTGGATGTTTTGTCTTTATTATTTTTAACTAATTTTCTGAACGTATTACTTGTTCTATATGCGTATTTTTCGTTTTATTGCAGCTAAACATGTTGTGATATATTTTTCAAATACAGTTTGTGGAGAACAAATCGTGAGGTGTGGTTTTTGAAATTTGCAGAGAATGTTATTGATACCTACAATTGTTTCAAGTCCGTTTTTTGTTCGATTGTCATATCCAAGCATTGGATTTTTTTTGTAAATATTATCTGATTTGCACAAGTTTTTTCTTGTAGTAAATGAAACCAACCCTTTTAGGATCAACCCTGAAACATTCATTGCATTTCATTTTTTAGTGTTCTCTGGTATTCTGAAAACTGTAAAAATATTTGGAGCACTGTCTCCAAGCATACTCATATATGGAACTTTCTCACCATAAAAACTCTGAGTCTTCTTGATTATATCTAAAAAAGATCCATCCGATAATAAGGAAATTTGTGAGCTGATTCATCCAATGTCTTCAACAAAATACTTGGTGACTTGCCTGATTGATGAACAAGTTGATTCTTCACTACATGGTATCAAACAAAGTCGCTTTGAAACTACGCAACGGATTTTGATGTGGGTTTTTTCAATAGATAGAGTCATTTAAGAGGAAGGTTTTTATGTATATAACATGCATAATATAGTAGAGAAATTTGTTTGAAGGTGGTTAACAATGTTTCGTGGTGCATTTCATTAGTTCGGACTTCCATTGTCTAATATGATATCGATATTGAAATCCCTGAAAAAATCTATAGAAAGCAAAAAAGATAAGCTAAAAAATAACAATCATACCAAGCAAGAAAACTGAAACTACAATGAAATAAAATGCTTACTATAATTATTATTTTTTAGCAAATCTTTTTTAACTTTTATAGATTCTTTCAGGGATTTCATATCAATTTATATCATATTAGACAATGAAAGTCCGAACTAGCATAGTAGAGGAACACTGATTTTATAGGTTTCTTATGTTATGTCGTTTTAAGCTATGTCGATGTTAAGTCGATTTTAAGGTATACAGCATTCATCATTATCCAATTAAGTACTTTAAATACATTGTTCAATTAATATAGATCAATATAACCCTTTACAGCAAGTAATTTAAATAAATATTTTCGAAGATATTACAAATTTAAAATGCAGGTACATAGCGGGTGCGGCGGTACCGGCCGGGGGCAGGGAGAACGTGGTTATAAATAGCGCGTCTAAGGCCGCGCTTCAACCTATATCACTTTATCATTAGCAGCCGTGAATAAACACCGCAACAGGAATAGTACTTATCTTTATCTTAGAGGATGGAATTATTAAATCTGTTTGGAATTTTTTTCCATGATTATCTTGCAAGACAGAAAGTGTATCTTTAATTTCTTATGGCTATAGGAATATGCAACAGTGATATAATGTTCATTAGAATTACTTTCGGAAGACTGTACGCGGGTTAATTGAAGATATATTCACATAAATTCCTTCAATTTCTATTTGTCTTGAAGTGATGCATGTTATGAAATATCTTTCCATGTGCTGAATGAATATTTCAAGTTTAGAATCAAACCGAGGCACCACTTTCACGTAAAAGATGTTAGGAGATACACTTGGAACTCAAGTGAGTAGTGTGTTGACGTTTCATTTATCGAATCATATTGTTTGTTATAGAACAATAAAGAAGTTCAAAAATGTGTTTTGATTGTTTCTAAATCATTGGTTTGTATTCATCTTTCTATAAGACAGATCACTATTTTCATTCATCCCTTTCTGTTTTGTATTAGAAAGTATTCCTACCTTCAGAATTTTTATTTTTGTTTCTATTGTTTGTAACAATTTGCTTTTCTGTCAAATTTATAATAATAATAATAATAATCATGTTTATTTTCGATAAAACACAAATTACAACACATTTATGAATTACAACAATTTTTTAAAACAAACATACTAATCACTGAAGCAAAAAATGCTGTAAAGGGTCACAATAGAGTAAATGCATCAAATTAAGGTAAATGTATCAATTCCGTGTTTCTAAGTCTATATTGGGTGAGTGTGTCAGCACAAGCAATCATAAGCTATTTCAAAAATTTCAGGTTGATAACATTATTGAATATTGTTCTACCAGTTCAGTTTATCTATGTTTTCACATGACGCTTGAAAGAAAAATAATTTTTGATAACTTTTATTTCATCTGGTAGCAAATTAAATATTTTCGGAGCCAAGAATTCTACGGAACATTGCCCAATACTCTTTTCAAGGCACGGAGCATTTTTATAATTCATCTGAGTTCTTGTATTATATGTATGCTCAATGGATTGAAGAGAAATTTTGTTTTTATTTATAGAAGTCAATATTCTTTGGCAGAATATTTGTCTGATATCAAACATATGGTTTTCGGAATGTAGTAGATCCGAGGAATACCTCATGTTTTTTTTAAATATCATTCTCAATATCCGTCACGACTCTCGGGCGGCTAAAAACCCCATCAATACTCACCATTTGTTTCTGATCAGACAGATAATCCTTCAACAAATCGAATGCTGGACCTCTTATTCCATACGACTCGATCTTATGTGACAAACGGTGTCAAAAGCTCTTGATAAATCGTCGAAAATACATAATTGGGGAATTTTCCTGTTCAGAGAACTATAGATTTCACGAGTCAATCAATAAATCGCATCTTCTGTAGAGCGCCATTCTTTGAAGCCAAATTGATTCTCGGAGAGAATATTGAATTTTTCAAAGAACTTTGAGATTCTATTTTTCAAGACTTTTTAAAAAATCTGAGAAAACGAATAAAAATGAAATTGGTTTATAAAAAATCTGTTTTTCCGTTAATCAGCTGCCGCCCCCATACGAACGACAACTCTCAGAAGTTGAGAAACTTGTGCGAGCTAAGGACTAACGAGGTCTTACCTAACGTGTGATTCCTAACACGGTTGCAGAATCAATCCAGCTTTAACCAGATAAATTCTATCGAGAAAAATATCTGGTCGAGGCGGGAATCGAACACACGACCTTCCGATCGTGAGTCGGACGCACTACCACCGCGGCCAACACTTCAACACTTTGTATAGGTAGTGGTTTGATGATGCCAAGTTTCAAATAATCAGGAAATTTTCGGGGCCGTCGGGGGCGGTACAGATCCAGCAATATTTTTATTAGAGACCCTGCCACCTTCATATTTTGGTATAGTGGTCACAACTGGAAATAAAGGAACATGGCAGAGGTAAAATCAAATAACCAGTCGTCGGGGGCGGTACAGATCCAGCAATATTTTTATTAGAGACCCTGCCACCTTCATATTTTGGTATAGTGTTTAGAAATGGAAACAAAGAAATACGTCAGAAGTGAAATGAAAAAACCGGCGATCGGGGGCGGTACAGATCAATCAATATTTTTATTAGAGACTCTGCCACCTTCATATTTTGGTACAGTGTTAAGAAATGGAAACATAGAATTCGATATGGATATTATATTTCGAAAAGATGGCCCACCACAACTTCAGACAAGCAAGAAACTATTTAGATATCAATTTCCTCGGTGGTTGGGTTGGTCGTCGAAGTCCTACGGAACGGGAGGCCCCTCTCGCCAGATTTGACACCTTTGGAGTTTTATTTTTGGGATGTTTCAAGCGCAAAATTGTACGAAACTAAATCTGCTTCAATATTAGATATACGGCAGAGTATAATAAATATTTGTAGAAATATCGACATTACAGTTTTATGAAAAAATTCGACGTGAAATATCGGTTAGGCTGTTCTTATGTCAAAAAGTTCAAGACAACCGTTTCGAGCATTTTCTCTAGTGAAGTCAGCTTATTTCGTCAATTTATGAAGTTAAACATCGATGTATTCAAGTAATTATTAAATGTGCCGCCATTTTGTAGTAGGTAAAGATATTGACTTTATATTCTAGGGTTATAAAGTATTCGTCAAGGGCTTCAAAATGATGTGTCACAAGAACCCCCCTTTGTATTCAATTTTTATTTTCGCGCCCAGTCGCCATCTTGAAGTTTATATTCGTCAATTTCACTCCAAAATATAGTATTCTAGCATCAGTTTCATTATCCCAAGTTTCAAATTATTCAAATGACCAATTCAAAAAAATAAAAGGGGGGGAACTTTAAGAAGAAGCATTGTAGAATACAGTAAACAGTGTCTCTTATTTATTACAAATTTGTATTATTTTACCAACAGGCTCCCGATTTGAATTTTATTCATATTAATTTTTTGATATTATATTGTGATATAGAGTTCAGTTTGTATTGTTATTGATTTATTATGATTTTGTGTGATGTGTATGTCGAATGGCTTTCGATATAGATTTTTAAGATATTTTGTGTTTTGAGATTGTTTTGTTGTGAAATTTAGTTTGCATTGCCATTCATTGGTTATAATTTTATATTTAATTTGCATGTGCCGGTTTTAATTTCCTACCTGCCATTTCTCTATATACTTAATCAATAAACTACAACAAAATATGAAAGTGACTATAGTCCGTTCATAATTTGTTGATAGCTCACTGCAAGTTTGACCCTCATTAGAGAACTGAAATACAGAGAGGACAGCTAATATGATATAATAACAAAAACCAAACTAAAACTGGCAGTTTAAGATGTTTTCGACTAACCCACCTTGTATCTGAAGAAATACAATACAGCTATAAAACTTTTAATCCGATTATGTAGGTATTTTGAGTGGAAATGAGTGACCAGTGTCGTAGAGTATATGATTAAAACATTAGTTACTTTAAATAAATAAATATATTAATATTCTTAAACTGTAGGTACTGTAAACTGTATTTTAATTTTAAAAAAATTTCATTATGTTATTCAAAAATAATAAGTTACTTGCAATTTGTAAAAGATACATTTATTTAATTAATACCTATTTTTAAATGATATAAACTACGATTACTTACAAAACTATTCAAATTCAAAATAAACAGGATCATCTTCGGAATCCGAGTCGTCTTGCAGGTTAATAATTAGCGGTTGTGTCTCTACAGTCGCATCAATTATATTGTCAAGATCCCACATTTTTTGTTCTTCTTCTATTGCATGTCTTACTGCATCTCGCCAATTTTGTTCTGTAATATGTTGTAAAGACTCATATAACAATTCACGTACAGCTTGTATTTTATATGACGTATTTTTTCTAGCCACATAGCTTTTCATTTGTGCCCAAATGAGTTCAATTGGATTTAATTCGCAGTGGTAGGGTGGAAGTCTAAGGACTGTGATGTTTCGTCTTTCCGCCATTTTGTCAACTACGTATTTCTTGAACTTAGATTTGTGTTGCCGGGCAACTTTTAAAAGTTCTGCTTTAACCATTCCATTTTCGTAAGGCAGGGACTTATTCCGCAGCCAGTCAATGATATCCTGTTTCTTCCACGCAGTCGTTGGAAGTCTTTCAACTAGTCGTGAATGATAAGGTGCATTATCTAATACTATAATTGAGTTTGGTGGTATATGTTCAATCATCTGCTCAAAATACTCTTCGAAAACATCAGCTGTCATCTCCTCGTGATAGTCTTTTGTGCTTTTGGATTCAAATTCCAACAAACCATGCTTAGCAAATCCTTTTTCACTGCCAATGTGAGAAACTATTAATCTACTGCCTTTACCAGAGGGTGGGGAAATACCAGTAGACCAACCTTCCATAAAGGCTTGCCTGGAGCTTGATATATTTTTATCTGTCCAAATTTTTGTGAGAGTATGACCTGCGTTTACCCACGTTTCGTCCTGATAGTAAATTGGCCTTCCTTCAGCCCGAAATTTTCGTATAAATCTTAGATACTTTCTTCTCCAACATATTATCTCTTCCCGGTCAATCAAAAGTGATTTTTGGTCTGATTTCTCCCACCGGAAATTTAATTCTTTTAAAACTTGCCACAATTTGGTTCGTCCGACATGAGGCAAATCCGGGTCGTCTCTAACTTCTTGTAAAATTTTGTTTAAGTTGGGTATTTCTTTTTTGTAAAAAAATTCGTGAATTTTCCTTCGAATACCATTTTTGGCAAATTCATCAATTTCAATAGGTTTTCTCCCCCTCTTTGAGTATTCGTTTGTATTTGGGTTAGCTATACCTTTTTTTTTCTTTCTGATAGGAACCTATATATTGTTGACTCCCCTACGCCCGTCATGTTGGCACAACTCTTGATTATGTTCTGAACAGTGTTTGTGGGATTCTGAGAAACCAGAGCATCGTGAACGTTCAAAACAATAGTCTTCTCTCTTGGTGAATAGACAGACTTACTGACTGTACGCAACAGTACCGGTGTAAAACTTGATGATGTTGATGATGATGACGAAGCCATCGCAAGCAATCAAACAAAACAAGCAGGAACGAAAGGTACGTATATATATGTTTGTAGTAATATGAAAAAAAGTTACTCACGCACTGCACAAAATTCGCAAAATAAATATTAGAGACGTTAATTACTGCCGTAGACGCCGAAACACCAACGAGCCGTAAATTAAATGCGATTAAAAAATGTACTAAACCAAAAATTATTTTCGTTCGTAACAACTTTACCCTTTCAAGGCAAGTTTCGAATATAAACTGAAGCTTTATATTTAATGAATAAACACCTCAGGAACCTCCGCCTATGATTTTACGAGTTTTACGACCGTTTTATGACTTGGGCCCTCATTTTGTGCTATCGACAAATTATGAACGGACTATAGGCCTCTAACAAAAGTATTGATGGATCTGTACCGCCCCCAACGGCCGGTTTTTTTATTTCACTTCTGACGTATTTCTATGTTTCCATTTCTCAACACTGTACCAAAATATGAAGGTGGCAGGGTCTCTTATAAAAATATTGCTGGATCGGTACCGCCCCCGACGGCCGGTTTTTTGATTTCACATCTGCCATGTTTCTTCATTTCCAGTTGTGACCACTATAACAAAATATGAAAGTGGCAGAAACTCTAATAAAAATATTGGTGGATTTGTACCACCTCTGACGGCCGGTTTTTTGATTTCCTCACTGCTATATTTCTTCGTTCCCTTTTGTTAACACTATAACAAAATATAAAGGTGGCAAGGTGTCTGATCAAAATGTTGACAAAGGTATACCGCCCCCTGCTCGGATTTTTCATTTAGTTTCCACTATTTTTTATAATTTCCGTCATTTCAAATATTCATGATGCCTTCAAAATACATTTTTCACTGTTTCGGGAAAGATAATAGAAAATACGAAATATTGCTGAACTTTATTGCCAAAGTAACCGAGGTAGGTGCTTGACGGTTTCAGATCTGAAGTCTCAGTTTCGGAAGTGGGTGTTAAAAAAAAGTGATTTTCAAGTACTTAATCGAGAGCTTCAACAAAATTTTCAGGTTCTTTTATTTTCTTTGCGTAATTTTTTCCCAAGTCGCTGTAATACTCGTTGAATTCATTCGCAATACCATTTTTGTTTGTTATAATTTGTTCATTTATTTCTATTGAATCAATGTGAGTCTTATACTGCTGTTTCGGACAAATATCATTTACAGAGGTACAGTCCAGAGGTTGAACGAAGAATTTGCGCAGTTTCGAATGAGTTCGTTCATATATTTCTTTTTTGGATTGATTAATAGCATCACGTATTTTGTTCTTGAGATTTTTGTAAGTATTTTGTTTGTCATTATCATTACTTGGGCCTGCCTGTCCGTATATCTCATTTTTCTCATCTATAAGTTTTATTATACTACGGGTTATCCATTTTTTCTGATTTTATTTTTATGAACTTTGATGGTCTTCGTGTGTTTTTTCAAGTATTTTTGTATTTTTTTTATGAACGAGCACATCATTTCATTTACATCTCTCTCTCATTATAGATGTCTAACCACTATTCCTTCATTATTGCGTTTTTCAATGTGATATAGTTTGTGAACGATTTATAGTTTTCGGATTGTATTTTATTTATATTTGCTGAATTATAATTATACTGTATAGAAAAAGGTAAGTGATCTGTTATTTCATAATTGAATACAAATGATTTGAAATCTGTGTGAATATTATTATTTTTTACATATATATGGTCCAAGCAAGTTTTACTATTAGGTCTTGTTACTCTATTGATGTGAGAGATGAAACCAATTGAGCCCAAAACTACAATCTTTCAGCAAATCCATGTTGACATCTCTAATAACGACATGAAAACTATATTTTTTTCTAGAGTTTAGGTAGTCATAGAGATCTGCATTGAATTCATTTTTATCTGTACTGGGAGACCTATAAAACACTGTAAGTAACGATTTGGTTTGATTCGAATCCAGATATAATTCTATTCCTGTACTGTGATAAAGGATAAGTAGGAATGTTTGAAACTCGAAAATAAAATGTGACTATGTAAAGACTTGTTTTTTGTTGAAAAAAAAGTGTAGGTTGTTCTAAAAAGCACCAATACTAACAAGACGTCGGGAGGCTACGTTAGCGAAGGCCACTTTACTCTTTGGTAATCTAAATTAAAAAGAGGCAAATTATTTTCCTTCATGTTTTTTGGGATTTAGCCATCCATAATCTGTTTCCTAATAATGAAAAGCAATAAATGCTCATTATGAATGAAAAACGCCAACAGAGTTCTCAAACAGAGTTTTGTGATTTAGTTATGATACTTTACCAGATCCACTCTATTTTTGTATGGTTGGGAAACAAAATATTTCATGAGCGTTCGGGTCATGCAGTGGCGTGCGTTTGGGTATCTAACCAAAAATATTTGTTACAAGTAATACCTATGTTTATTTATATAAAATTGATATTGCTATAACATTCCTTATTCGAGAAGATATCTATACTTATTAATGCGAAAGTCACTCAACAGTCACGCATTCATCTCTCCGTACTGTTGAGTCCTAGAAAGCTAAAATTTGGTATGTAGGTGCTTCTTAAGTCTTTAATACGCACTAAGGAAAGATTTTTCAAATATTCCAGCTGGGGCGCCCCCCGTGGGGGTGAAGGGGCGTGTCTACATATGAAATTTACATTTTCATGATTGTTTCTCAGTACCGCTAGATGTTCAGAGGCTAAAATTTTGTATGTAGGTAGATGTGCAAGAAAAAAAAAGGATTTTTGAATATTCCAACTGGGGCGCCCCCCTGGGGATAAAAAGGGAGCATTTACATATGAAAATTACCTTTTCATCACCGTTTCTCTGTACCGCTATATTTTCGTAGACAGAAATTTTGTATGTAGTTTCGTTTTATATTGTAGATGTTCAAAAAGAAAAGATTTTCAAATATTCCAACTGGGGCGCCCACACTGGGAATGAAAGGAGAGCGTTCACTTATGAAAATTACCTTTTCATCGCTGATTTTCTGTACCGCTATATTTTCGGAGCCTGACATTTTGTGTGTAGGTTCGTTTGTATTGCAGATGTGCAATAAGGAAGGATTTTTGAATATTCCAAATGGGGCGCCAGCCGCGGGGAAAAAAAGGTGCGTCCATGAAACAAAATTATTTTTTCATCAATTTTTCTCCATACCGGTATATTTTTGAAGGTTGGAATTTTGTACATATGATCGTTTCATGTTCCAGATGAGCAACAAGTTTTTTTTAATATTCTAAGTAAGACGCAAGCCGCGGGGAAAAAGGTGCCTTTATAAAATTATCTTTAATATATAATTTATCTTAGCTGTCCATGATGTGATCAAAATGCCCCCTTACAGCATGTAATTTGAATGAATATTTTCGAATATAGCGGTTGCGGCGGTACCAGGCCTATTATATGTCGCTCTTTCAAGAGTAATCTTTAAAGAAAACAAGTTTGTATTATGTGCTGACAAAAAATTTGTGAACGTTATATATAAAGACATTCTGTATAGTATATTTAGTATCGGCATTGCACCCGTGCAGAGCCGGGGAGGGTCGCTAGTTAGATATAAGCAAAAATTATGGTGTGTTTATCATCAGATAATAATATATAATAATAATATTCATGATTGAAGGTTCTACAATTTCCTCACCTCAATAGTCTTCTTTTATGGCATGTTCGATACACCGGAGTTATGATTGAAGAAAAACTGGTAGGCTATGGGTGACTGGAACATGAAGTTTCAAAAGTTTGGTCTGCTACTGCGGCAGACAACATCAGTGATATCTGAGAGAACAAAAGTTATATCTGCAAATCTCAATCAGTTGTTACTGAACCTTCAAAATATAACTTTCATCCTCGCAGTCAACGCACATACTACTGATAATGTCTTCCGCAGTAGCAGACGAAATGTTCAATACATTTTTACCATTTGTCGTCATTTTTAAGGACTCCTCGAAGAATATTGTGACATTTATTATTTTAAATGACTCCCGTCTTTTGGGAACGCATTTCCACCAGAGTATCAACGATATACGAAGGATTTGGGTGCATGAGAGCGTCATACATTTAAAACAATAATCTTTTCGTTAACAGAGAAATCAAGCAAAAAAGTATCTGAATAACGCACTATTAGATCGGATCGAATCACGGCTTCATTCTCTTTTCCAGTGAGAAAAGAAAATATCTCAAGAATGCCTAAATTAACCTGAATTTGAAATTGTTCATCGTATTGAAGCATTCTTGTATTCCTCATTAATTTTTTTGGTCCAACTCAGTGAAAATTCGGCAAATTATTATGTAAGGAGATCTAGAGGAATATTAGTCTGAGATGGAACTCGTTCAATGTTGTGATCTATCACAAA